TCCGTTGTCAGTATAATGTGACCAGGCTGAATGCTGTGCTGAGTGCCTTAGGCATGGTATTTCAGTGAGATAGCACTATAAAGTCGGCATCAGATCCGCGCTATCACAAGGAGACAAGCACACAAACATACCCTGTCTCCTGCATACACACACGCAAGCACGCATACACTACTCATATGGAGGCACGTCCTTAAAGGACCTTAGCTGTTAATAGGACGTTAAACAAAATGAAACCAAACCAAACCTTGGATTTATTTTTTTGGTGGTCATTTTCTTAGTGTGTTAAAATCGTCTTTAATGTCACTCATTATAAAAAAAAAAGAATCAGCAGCTTGGAATCACAAAAGAGAAAACAAAAAACAAGTATATTTTGTTCTCAACCCTGATGTCCAAACACACTTACAGATCTGCGTCAGTATGAACTTGTGTCAGAAGACAACACAGTGCTAATGACTTCGACCTTGTCTGCAAACACTTTCACACAAAAAAAGGGAAAAAACTCCTTCACATTTTACAATACATTTTCCATTTTTTCTAAGGACAACATACTCTCTAATCATGCTTCTATGTTTCAATCTTTCATAATCCTTATAAACAACGTGCATCGCAGGCTCTGATAGTTGCTTAACTGAGCCATTATCCAAACTAGATTTGAATACCATTAAACAGTCGCATTGTGATATTGTATTACCCAGAAGTGGAATTAACGCAATGTGGATTTAAGAACTCAAAAGATATTTTGACAAATCACTTAACAGCACAGACATACATGTACACTTATAATGTCGGAAATTTGATTTTTTTTACACTATCATACCTCATACTTAAATGAAAGAACTGCAAAGATGAAGTATATTGAGAATGATTGAGTTCCTGGTTTACAATGTCCTCCTTTCTTTCGGTGGCAAGATTTCCCAACAGAATGTAGCTATAGGCATTCCTATGAGAGCAAACTGTGCTCCTGTACTGGCCTTTTTTATTTTTTATTTTTTATACGAGGTTGAATTTATTGAACAGCTTATCAGGACTTGCAATACAACTTTTGCCTAGCGATTCAATTTTACTTTCAGATTTATCGACAATGTGCTGTTGAGTAACAATGAATTTATGCAGTACGTCGATTTTATATACCCTGTTAAATTTGATATTAGGGACACTACAGATTTTCTTACATCAGCGCTTTCTCGATCTTTACATAAAACATGTACATGTATGTACAAAAGGAACGGCGTATTGTCAAGTTGCACGATGAGCGTGAAGATTTCGATTTTTCTATCTTTAACTTCTTCTTTCTTGATAGTTACAGCAGTTGATGAGTTTTCAAGATATCACTGCGAATGTCAAGATTTCGGTGTACAAAGATGGAAGATTACGGACAAGTTTTGTGGTCGGCCACCATGAACTCATTGTGAAATATTATATTTCCTTGTACGATTTTAAGGTCGAGCTTTTATTCTGCTCATAGGTGTGCCTTGGTTTTTTCCACCCCTGTTCCAGCTTCGTGGACGTAAATCACATTTTACCAATATTTACATGGAGGATCCTGTCAATGAAGAAGACGTCTGCGGAACGCCTGTTCCTTCCCAAGTGTCTTCATTTAAATCTTATATTTTGTTTAGAATAGCACCAGTCTTTGAGCTTGATTTCCGGTTTTGATGGCACTTTGGTATTCCCTTGCTGTTATTTCGTTATGTTTGTTGTGACGTTTGATAGTAAGGTACCATTAGTGTCTAATTAAATATATGTAAATATTATATCCAGAAATAAAACTGATGAAAGTAAGTCTGTGGTATCTTAACTTCCAATTTGTTGGATAAATGAGACTCAATTGGTTGTTTTTAACATGCTGAAATTGCTCAATATAGATATATGAACCTGTTTAATACACATTATCTTCTTTATGTTTAATCTGTTTTCATCCCGAAATTATTTGTACGGATTTTACAATCAGTTTCCAGTTACAAAATGTAATTGATATTCTATAACTAAGTCAATTCTATTGACCAAGGAATACTCTATATCAAATGGGTTTTTTCATAATCAATAACAATTTTGTTACATGAAACGGTCCTTAGATTGACATACTGGTGCACGACACGGTCGTATATCAATAACAACTGTTGGCGATAGTGCCGTTTCAGGGACATATCAGAAGCACCATATCGTTTATAAAAAAGACCATTAGAGGGACAGACTAGAGAATGGGATGGTCTGTTGAGGGGCAATCTGGGGCAGGAACAATTCCGGGACATATTTTTCCATGGAAGGGCCATTATTTTTTGGCATATCTAGTTCCAGGTAAAACTATATGTTGTTAAAGTGCTTTAACTCCGGTTCGTATTTATTTAAAAAGTACGTTTGTCTTGAAGCAAAAACGCACTTTATAACGGAAGGGAACAAAACAATTGATGATCGTGTCTATAAAAACCTTCACCAAAACTATCATGTGGCTGTGTACAGTATTAAAACACCACACTTGTAAACTTATCACATCTTGAATGATAGCTTTAACTGGGTTTATACTAACTGTTTACATAACAAAGATTTCAGTTCACTCGGTTTCGAAGTATTTCTCACTAATCAACCGTTTGGGTAATAGGCTCCTGGTTATAAGGTATGTGTCTTCTTTGAAACAGAAAAAGCTGTACCTTTTATTGAACTGTTTAGACGACTACATGATTCATAGGAACTAGGTCGGACAAGAAAGACATTAAGACATAGAAATGAAGTAATGGTCATCTTAATATAGAAATAAACAAGGGGCCCAGAGGGCCTGTATCGCTCACCTGAATATGTTTAAAATAATTGGTATGAAGTAAAATTATAGCACTCCATGGTAGGTGCTGTATTTCAGAAAGATCCATCCAGTACTTGAGATATATAGAGAACAAACTTCAACAGCGCCCCACCCATATGTCCCTAAGGGGGCCATACCCACCGTTTATACAAAATTGAGTCCATTTGGCCCAAGGATGCTCCAGACTAAATAAGGATAAAATCCATTATTCCTTATGGTAGAAGAAGGATTTTAAAGGTTTTACCTCTATTTCTACTATTGGGCCCCATCCTTCTGCCCCCTGGGAGACCACACCCACTGCTTATACAAAATTGAGTCCCCTTGGCCCAAGGATGCTCCAGACTAAATTAGGATAAATTCCCTTAATCCCTATGGTAGAAGAAGGATTTTAAAGGTTTTACCTTAATTTCCCCTATTGGGCCCCGCCTCTCTGCCTCCAGGGGGGTTAGACACACCGTTTATACAAAATTGGTTCCCCTTCACCCAAGGATGCTTCATACCAAATTAGGACAAAATCCTGTCATTGGTACAGAAAAGGAAGGTATTTGAAGAATTTGCCATGTTTCCCCTATTGGGCCTGCCCTTCTGCCCCCAGGGAAGCGAGACTCACTGTTTATACAAAATTGAGTCCCTTTTGCCCAAATTCCTCCAGACCAAATTGGGAAGAAATCCCTTTATCCCTATGGACTAGAAGAAGGATTTTAAAGGTTTACCTCAATTTCCCCTATTAGGTCCCACCCTTCTGCCTCCTTGGAGACCACACTCGCTGTTTATAGAAAATTGAATCCCTTTTGCCCAATGATGCTCCAGACTAAATCAGGATAAAATCCCTTAAATCACTATGGTAGAAGAAGGATTATAAAGGTTTTACCTATATTTCCCCTATTGGGCCCCATCCCTCAGGTCCCAGGGGGGCCACACCCACCATTTATACAAAATTGGTTCCCCTTCACCCAAGGATGCTCCACAACAAATATGGACCAAATCCTTTCATTCCTACAGAAGAAGAAGAAGGATTTTAAAGAATTTGCTATATTTCCCCTATTGGGGCCCGCCCGCAGCCCTCAGGGGGGTCAGACCCACCATTTATACAAAATTGGTTCCCCTTCACCCAAGGATGCTCCACAACAAATATGGACCAAATCCTTTCATTCCTACCGAAGAAGAAGAAGGATTTTAAAGAATTTGCTATATTTCCCCTATTGGGGCCCGCCCGCAGCCCTCAGGGGGGTCAGACCCACCATTTATACAAAATTGGTTCCCCTTCACCCAAGAATGCTTCAGACCAAATATGGACCAAATCCTTTCATTTCTACAGAATAAGAAGGATTTTAAAAAATTTGCTATGTTTCCCCTATTTGGCCCTGCCTCTCAGCCCCCAGGGGGGGGGTTAGGCCCATCATTTATACAAAATTTGTTCCCCTTCACCCAAGGATGCTTCATACCAAATCCTTTATTTCCTACAGAATAAGAAGGATTTTAAAAAATTTGCAATGTTTCCCCTATTGGGCCCGCCCCTAAGGCCCCTGGGGGCCAGACCTACCGTTTATACAATATTGGTTCCCCTTCATCCAAGGATGCTTCAGACCAAATATGGAACAAATCCTTTTATTCCTATAGAAGAAGAAGGATTTTAAAGAATTTGCTATGTTTCCCCTCCTTGGCCCTGCCTCTCAGCCCCCAGGGGGGGGGGTAGGCCCATCATTTATACAAAATTTGTTCCCCCTCACCCAAGGATGCTTCTGACCAAATATGGAACAAATCCTTTCATTCCTACAGAATAAGAAGGATTTTAAAGAATTTGCTATATTTCCCCTATTGGGCCCTGCCCCTCAGCCCCCAAGGGGGCCAGACCCACCATTATACAAAATTGTTCCCCTTCCCCTAAGGATGCTTCTGACCAAATTTGGTCAAAATCTGCTCAGTCGTTCACTAGTAGCGTTTTAAAAGAAAAGTTGACGTACGGACGACGGACTGATGGACGACGGAAGCTGCGGTATGACATTTGTGAAATGTATGTTGTAGATTGCATGGCTTGATGAAGGGAAGCAAACTTCCAGTAAAATTTGCATGAAAACATGAAGAGTTCCCCTAATGCACGAAACTCATTCCTCGCAGCCTTCCTTGGTTGAGCAGGTATCATGGTACGCATCAGTAATGTAACAGCTGCTTCAAGAAAATCAAGAACACCACCTTTTATCTAACTGTTTTATTGAAATATATCAATAAGCTGTATCCTTATATTTAAGGAATACAATTGAGAATTTGATTTTTGTCTTCTTTTTCTCCACTAAAGTATGCACCTAATGATAATAAGATGATTTGAAAATAATGGACGAAATAAAAGGACGGATACGCATATTTCTTTTCTAACAAAAAAAAATACAAAAATATAATATTAAAAATATAAACATGCTGAATTAACTTGGTTTTGCAGATACTGGTACGGGTAGTCGAGCATAACACATCCCTTTACACTGTATGTGTCTTTCTACAAGGCACTGCCACCCACACATCTCCTAGCCCCGTCACTATGTGTCTTTAACTTTCTGCTACAATAAGAATGGTTTTGATGGGTAATGGAGAGAGTATACAAAAAAAATGCGTTGTTGCTGTGAATCGATGACAATTTGCATACCTCTTCCATCTCAACTCAATACCTCAACTTTAAATGATATTAAGGAACCAGTGGTTTATATCGCTAGACAAAGCTTTTGCGAAGATATACACAAAAAAAAAGAGCTAATGAACTAGAATAAAATATTTTAACTAGCTATAGTAGTCGTAGACTAATGGTATGACATCGACAACAGCGAGTTATCTTTAATATCAGTAAAGTGAATGGAAGACCCGCGATGCAAACCGAAGTTACACCTCATTCAAACGTTCTACAAACTTCCATGCTTGCATCATTTATATTTTCCTTGAGTGACCTGGAATGTAATCATTGGGTTATCTGCCCATGTGTCTCCTTCCCACATGTGTCAGTGTCTATACTTTAATTGTTTTATGACACACTGATAATCTACCAAACAACACATGAAGTTCCTGAGTGGTTTTACACATCACACTGTCACGAGTACCGAAGTTGTATTACACAGAACATCAGGACGGGTAGGCTTCGTGCCATGACATTTATAAGGCAGGTCATTTGCTTAATGACTTACACGTAACTATCAATTTGATTTATGAAATATTCATACAAAAACAAAATATTTACAAATAACAAACAAACAAAATTATATCAACAATTGATAACTATATGTAATGGCAAATAATGCATTAGGATCTGAAGACTACCATGTAGGTACATATAAAGGTGCTGTATTAATTCTTTCAACTTTATATACAATGCAAAACTGCAACATTCCATAACACATTTGGATGAAATTAACCAATCAATAAGAAGAACCTTGTTAAAATAGATTTCAACTTTCAGGTAACAATTTCATTTTTTTCAAAGTGTATTAAGTCTGTGACAAATGGAGTTAATGTCAAAGTCTTTGAAATGTGTTTGGTGAGTTTGGCGTCTATGGGATGCTAATGCATTCGTAAATGCTGGCTGATGAGATTTAATTTCTCCTTGTGACACAAACACACTTTCTTCCATACATACAACCACTCTCCACACAGCATAAACATCCATCCACACCGGCACTTATCCACGTCGTCGGGTCGGCACTTATCCACGTCGTCGGGTCGGCACTTATCCACGTCGTCCGTCGGGTCGGCACTTATCCACGTCGTCGGCACTTATCCACATCGTCGGCACTTATCCACATCGCCGGGTCGGGACTTATCCATGTCGTCGGCACTTATCCACAACGTCGGGTCGGCACTTATCCACATCGTCGGCACTTATCCACTTTTCCACACACACTATGGCCTCCCCAAATTTGAGCCATCCACACATACACAATGGAAGTCAGACATGGTTTATCATATATCACAATATAGCTTTGGTTAAAACAAGACATGGACAAAAATCACAGCTCCAAGTAAAAACAAATATGGTTGGACGGAGTAAATAAATTCCTTATTCAACTAAAGGTTATACAATATTTCTTCAAAAATTATCTACCACTATTACATTTTATTGGTCTCCTCTACAACTAATTAAATCAAACTTTTGGTGTGACTGATAGGTGAATTGGAGCTAGGTGACTCCAAAATATACAAGGTCATACTGCGTCAGAAAGTGTAGTAATGTCATTATAACTAGGAGGAGAAAAAAGGAGAAAATAACAGATAAATATCTCAATACTATTTTCTAAATAGGTGGTCTAAGCTGGAACTAAAAATACTAAAAATTTAATGCAGAGATTTGAATAAAAACAAGTTCATTTCGAAATGGTTTTTGATGTATTAGTTCCTACTGGAATTTCTGCACAGTAAGTAAAATCACAAAAATAAGGGGAAGAATGTCAGATTGTGAATGACTTGAAAAAGTTATATAAATACATACTAAAAATGGTCTAATGCTTACTATTATAGCAAGTGACACATTTTTCTTGTTTTAAAAATTCATTGATTAGGCCAAGCATGTCAAAAAATAGAGTAAATAAATAACAGATATTTCTCTTTTCAATCAGTTTCAAGGAGAATGTCGAAATAAAGTAATATACAGTGCCAAAATATTAATCTATTTGGTGATGGTAAATAAAACAGGGATATGCATGGACATAAACATGTAAATCTTAAGAAAGTTTACAAGCATCTGCACAAAGAGCTAAGGACTAGATTTGAAATTTGGATACCACTTTAAGAAATAAAATAATATTTAGATATACTTCTACAGTGATCATATTTTGAGAAAACAGAAATGTTACTGACCCCTAGTTCCCAATAAATATCAAAAATATTAAGCAGTAATGAATGCATCTAATTAAATATACTGAGCTCAACTTGCGGAGAATACTAAGATTAGAAAAAATTACAAATCAATTAAATGGTAAATAACAGACTTCTCTAAAACGCTAAGTTCTCCTGGTGTGACAGAGTATATGGATTAGCACTAAATATGCTTACATTACATTATATAAAAGACAACTTATATTTGATATTCATGGCATTGTTGCTATACAAAAAAATGAACTCATTTTCTCAGAATATTCCCTTTCCAAGAAAATTTCTTAAAATATTGTAATCATAGTAGAGCAACACTGACTCCAGGGTATTTACCAGTGTGTTATCTAAATCTCATGTTGTCGAAAGTTCTACAACTGACGAAAGGCTTGATTAAAAATAAAAAGCACTGTAATGTCTTGTAGTAAAAATTGCTTTAGTAAGTTGTCTTAAAGTCAATATAATTCCACTGAGAACAAAGGAACTTAATTCCAAGAGGTTGTCTCCCCTGTATTAGACCTCTTCGATGTGTTGGAAGAAGGTCGAGAATTCTTGGAACGATCAAGCCCAAGACTAGAGTTCTTTTTCCTAGCACGAATTTGCCACAAGAGATACATCCATTTTGCTTTCCACACAGACCATCTGCAAACAAAAAATCAACGAAAATGCACACATGCATGGAAACATCTACAAATGCACACAAATAAAGTCAAAACTATGACAATCATAAAAATAAGATGAAAATGTTTATCTGACATCTTTCTTTGTTATATATTTTTATTCCTTTTCAGGATTTAATTACCTTTTCTAACTGTAGGTGGATTTTGAATTTTTGATGAATTTACCTGAATTTTATATCATTTTTTATTGATAACATATAAAATGTGTAATTCGTAATTCATTACTTTCTTTAATTGTCTATAATGCTTTTTAAAATCACAGCTTAATCTACATACAGCTTACAAAGTATAAACAAGTTATATGATCCTTGAGTCTATGTTAATTGAATTATTGTTATTGACAGCACATCTATAGTTATATTGTCTCAGTTTTATATCAAACCTCAATGTGTAAACCTTATTTGAAATCTTCTCTGTAGTCTTATATTAAATTTCTCAATTTGTTTAACATTTTTTCACAATCCAAGTTTTAATCCCGGCATCTGACCATGATGTGCTGCACACAGAGCTAGTCTTAATTCAGGCATATATATATGGCTTGTTCAGAATTAAATGAATTAGCATTTTAGCAAAGAAATGTTACTATTTTTAGATATTGTTATTCATTAATAAAACACTTAATTAAACACTGGTGATTCTGATAGTGTCACACCACAAAATAAAGACTGTTAATGTCCAAGTTTTAACATGTACAATATTTCAAGTGATATAATGAAAACTTGTTTATTTGATTAAAATTCATTTGTTAACAGAATAAATAATGACATATAACAAAATATATACAAATCATTTTAGTTGAAAATTCTAGAAATTATTCAAACAATATTCTACAAAAACAAATTGCAATAGACATTTGTACAAAAAGTAAATAGCATGTATACTTGAAACAGGCATGCAGATTGAAGCCTGTTGTTCTATGTGTAATCAAACTTGGTTACTGATCAAGTTTACATGATAGATGCACACTTTACAGTGTACAATTACCATACTGATTCTAAACATAAACGAAGCACACAAAAATGAAAGAGGGGGAAGGACAATAATTGGAAACTAGCTTCTAACGGTGGTAATGAAATAGCACAAAATGCTGCAGCCTCTGTTCCTGGAGGATACAGAGATATGTTGGGATTTCTGGTCGAGGGTTGGACAGAGTAAAATTACCTCCCCTGAAAAAACTTATCAGCCATAGAACAACAAAGTTTCATTTATAATTGTGTGACACACATGCACTTGTGTTGGTGATGGCCTTTTCGGATTCTACAGGTGGGTGTGGCAGTCAAGAGATCTACAAACATTTACTCGATAAATGACAATGAAAAATGATTAAAAAAGATTATCGGCAAAAAATTATCTGATTTTTCCTTTGAAATATTAACAATTTGTCTTTGAATTTTCTGAGTTCTTCGTTCCAAATTTAAATTCCAAGATATTTGTTCTGTTTTCAAAGGTCGTAAATGGTTTGTACTGATAGTTTCATTTTGAGCTGTCATTGTTTATCATTGTCTTAAAATATCACCGATGAAATATATTGATACATGTTTTAAAAACACTGGACTTTCAACAGTAAAATAAATAAATTTTATATATAATAATAAAGTCATTTTTATGATAGCCATTTTTTTGTTTGCATTTAATCATTAGATTTCATTTTGCATCAATGGTTATTAAGTAAATAACTCAATAATAACTAATAAACATGTATCACAATATTTCTTAGTTGAAATATCAATACAAATGAGTCTAGAAATGACAGCCCTATTTTTAGTACTAATCATTTTTCAGTCATTATCACCTTGCTACAAATAAAATATCAATCTGTTTTGAATCTTCAAACTGAAAAAGAAGAAAAATTCTACAAAATTAAATTGTCTAATTATAATAACTTAAAGAACTAGAAATCTGAAAGCAAAACTCAAATTCTAAAAAGAAAGCTAAACAATAGATTTTTCAAGGACACAATCACACATCAGAGCATTCTCATTTCTCTTATATTGTACAGTTATAACTCATTCCCTTATAACCTTCAAGAGGCATGGAAGATACAACCCCCTATACCCTTCAACATATCTCACTATATTGTAAACGATAGTGTCAATATCAAAGACTTGTACTAAAACTTTGTGTACAGTTGAGCCATTCGAAGGTGATTTGCTATCCAAACAATTGCATTCATACTACCATTTTTTTTTTAATATTCCAGTCAGGCAGAAAGACTGTGGTTTCACATGGTATAATCTTCATTAACAACAATGATAACTCCTGTCCCAAATTTTATCACACAACCCAAAATCACAGTTGACTTAGGCCATTAAATGACCAATGGTCAAGAAAGTTATCAATAGAACTTATAACATTGTATTGAACATGTTCCATTATGACCTTGACTTTTGACCTCTTGAAAGTTGTGACCCCTGTCCATACTGATCAGTCTATAATAGAACAGTAATGTGGACTTTGTGAAAAGCTACATGATACTTGTTATAGACCTTACATAAATATGGATCTCTTTACAGCTGATTCAGACCTTATAGCAACTGTACACATTTAATAACATCCACTTTCACTGGAGTAGGAAGTGCCATTATTTCAGATTATGAATGTAAAACACCCACGACAACTCCCTTGTCACACACCCTGACTATACTCCCTCATCACACTAACATCTTACACACAGAGTGGGAGTATCTAGTTACACGTACATCTTACACACAGAGAGGGATTATCTAGTCACACTAACATCTTACACACAGAGGGAATATCTAGTTACACTAAGATTTTACACACAGAGAGGGAGTATCTAGTTACACTAACATCTTACACACAGAGAGGGAGTATCTAGTTACACTAACATTTTACACACAGAGAGGGAGTATCTTAGTTACACTAACATCTTACACACACAGAGGGAATATCTAGTTACATGTACATCTTACACACAGAGAGGGAACATCTGGTTACACTTACATCTTACACACAGAGAGGGAGTATCTAGTTACACTAACATTTTACACACAGAGAGGGAGTATCTTAGTTACACTAACATCTTACACACACAGAGGGAGTATCTAGTTACACTTACATCTTACACACAGAGAGGGAATATCTGGTTACACTTACATCTTACACACAGAGAGTGAGTATCTAGGTACACTTACATCTTACACACAGAGAGGGAGTATCTAGTTACACTAACATCTTACACACAGAGAGGGAGTATCTAGTTACACTAACATCTTACACACAGAGAGGGAATATCTAGTTACACTAACATCTAACACACAGAGTGAGTATTTAGTTACACTAACATCTTACACACAGAGAGGGAGTATCTAGTTACACTAACATCTTACACACAGAGGCAATATCTAGTTACATGTACATCTTATACACAGAGAGGGAATATCCGGTTAAACTTACATCTTACACACAGAGAGGGAGTATCTTAGTTACACTAACATCTTACACACAGAGAGGGGGTATCTAGTTACACTAACATTTTACACACAGAGTGGGATTATCTAGTTACACTAACATCTTACACACAGCGGCAATATCTAGTTACATGTACATCTTATACACAGAGAGGGAATATCCGGTTAAACTTACATCTTACACACAGAGAGGGAGTATCTAGTTACACTAACATTTTACACACAGAGAGGGATTATCTAGTTACACTAACATCTTACACACAGAGAGGGAATATCAATACTCACGATGTGTTACAATACCCGAGTACCATACAACATTTATAGCAATCACAACATCAAACAGACACAATAGCATCACGACTCTAGGATTCAATCACAACATCATTTTCCAAATATGGACACAATGTATTATTTACCTGTACGTGTACCTTATAGCACGATGGTAGTACCGTTGTTTACCATATTTGCCATTACAGTGTATTTCAATACTTAAAGGCACGATTATTGATTGAAATTCCTGGGACAAGTATCCTTAACTTGTGGCACTGAAACTGGGTTTCCATAGAGAACAGAACATATTTTTGAGTATTGGTATCATTATTCACTGAAGTATTAAAGTACACATCAATTGTTTTGACCATGTCAACAAAACAAATCCAATGCTTCACAAGCATTAACAACTCTCCTCAGCGGAACTATGAAATTTGTTTACTGTAAAATAATTTTGTTATAGTTTAATATTCATGATTGAGACACTTCCTCGATGGGAGACACTCTTTTCACTCCATCTTTAGCAAATATCTGCCTGTCAGTCTGTCAATACGTTATTCTCCTCCAGACAAAATCTTTACTGCCTCAATACTTACTACTTAACCACCAGTTGAATTTACACTTTGTTCACAAGCAAAAAAGGTCGAAGTGGAACAGGCTAAATTGTCTAATTTCTACCAGCTTTGGTTTCACTGTGTCCATTGCTATTTTTTTTAAGTACCTACAAGTGTTACTACACAGACAACAACAGATCATGCAGAGTTACGGAAGTGAGGCTGTACGACAGCGGTGATACAGATAGATTTACGTGACAATACGCAGACACCATCAAGTGGTTCATACCTGTAAATTCGTTAACTATCACTAAAAACAAAGGAAACAGGTAAGTTATACAATCTCAGATTATCGTTAATATTCTTTCCAGCAAGTTACACCAGACTAAAATTTAAATGTTTTCAAAATCCTAAATGCGCAAACACTCAAAATGTAAACCAGGATTGTAACATTTAAAATCAGTAAAAATTAGTCTATAAATACTGCCCTAGGGAAGGGAGAAAAATGGTCTTTATACCAATACTATTATAGGTTCTTCAGTCGTCATTAGCAGAACACAGAAAAACTTGTTCTTAATATTGGTAATCTAATTTGCTTTAGGAGATGTCAATATATGGGTCCTTGCATAGTGGAATATGACCTCAGTTGATGAATCAGATAATGTGCATTTCAAGATGGGAGGGCAGCTCTACATGGTCAATAGAAGGCATGGTAGTCTAGTGGTAGGACACTGGGCTTGTGACCGAAGGGTTGTGGATTCGAGTCAGGGCACGGTACTGTGTTGTTTCTTTGAGCAAGATATTTTACACCGCTTGTTCCAATCAACTCAGCTGTAAATGAGTTTGTGATTGGGCAGTGCTAGAATTGTAGAATGCTAGCTGTGAGCGCCGAAATGGCAGCACCGGCTGTATGCTCCCAATGGAGTTGAGAAAGATATTGACTGGTTGCAAAGGCCCTATAACCACGGATAATAATTTGTGAACCGCTTTGGGACAACCTACAAACTTGGCTGTGATAAAGCGGTATATAAGAACCTTTATTATGATCATTATAATCTATGGCCAAATGATATTTAGTGGTAAGGTTCCTAAATAACAAGCTGACTTATACTGACTATCTTTGCTACTATTGGACAAAGCCCTATTGGACAAAGCCATAGTGTTGGGCCTAACGAGTTTGTCATTTACTATCGATCTTAGCATGAGAATAAAAGACAATGGAAAATGTCTCACTTTGGTCAAAAATGGATCTTATAGACACACGGCCATAACTATTCATAAATGGGGTTTTTTCACCCACTACCAGACTTACTTGTAGGCGTTGGGTACGCTCCACTTATTAACCTCAGGAGTACTGTCAGCTCTACTGCCCCTAGCCGAGTCCTTCACAAAGGAGCGCGGCAGAGGCTTCTTAACAAGCGGCTCAATGGCTGTCCTTAAAATTGCAATCTCCTCCTGTAACTTCTGAACATCGTCTGTACGCTAAATACAACAAAACCAAATGTTTAATGGTAAACTTAAGGCTAGGCGTTAATTCCCAGGATCTACTGCCTAAATATGGAGGCATGATGAAGCTGAAAATAGCCAAACAATAATTCCACTTGTACAGAACTTAGTTTCATCAATCTCAAAAAGATGTCACCGTGATGATTATTTTACCTGGTATTGTATACTGTTTTTACTTCAAATGAAGTAAATGCTTGTAACTATAAAACATTCAGTAAAAAATATTGAAACCAATGAGTAAAGCTAAATCTGAAATTAAGTAAATTCAATGGGACATTACCTTTTTAGATTGAGAATTTGTCTGAAACAAGTGATACTATCTAAGGTGAGGTGATTAGCCCTGAAAAAAAATCAGTTAGTGAAGATAACGCTTCTAGTGAGCAGCCATCTTGATTATATCATTAGTACTGAAACAGATCAGTGCTTTTGTGAGCGAGTCTGGCATCTCATACTCTCAGAAATTAAGCATGGACCATTTTACAAATTTGGAAATCATTTCAACTATTACCTCTTATGGTTTTTTCAGAAGTGCCATTCATTTGTAATTTGAATAAAAAATGCAAAATCTAAAAGTTAGATGTTTCCAAAAAATTCAAGGTAAGTTCCAAAGTGTGTTTGTAATATGGTCCACACTGAGCCGGTTATTAGAGTTAGGCGGCACACATGCAGTATGAGGTTAGTGAGGGCGGGTAAGTCTCATCAAGCCTAGCCACAGCAGTGGCAGCTAGTTGAAGCTGAAGTGTTAGAGGGTGACAGGTTGTCAGTGGTGAGTATGACCCACTCGGCATGTCTAACCTACCAGCCGCTACGTCTTCTACACATCGGCTAAACCAGTTCCCCCACCAGCCTCTGTGAGCACTGACTCCTGACTGTTTCGTCGTGACTTGCTGTTTGCTTTAGCCTTCACACTGGTTCCTCCTGGAGTATTTGTACGACTTTGGGATGGTGTCTTGGCCTTTGTTCCTCCTGGAGTATTTGTACGACTTTGGGAGGGTGTCTTGGCCTTTGTTCCTCCTGGAGTATTATTGAGACTGCGGGTGGGTGTGTTTCTCTGTGATTGAGGGTTGGGTGTTACCCCACTCCGTGGAGTTCGCGACTGTTTGGGTGTTGCATTTCCATTGTACTGTTCAGCACTGCCTGTACTTGGCACAGGACTTTTATTATAATACTCTTTATCCTCGGGAATCATACCCATCTGTGTTTCTGTGGCAGTTCCGTAACCTGTGCCTGTTGCTGTACCATAACCTCTATCTGTTGCTGTTCCATATCCTGTATCAAAGTCACGTGTCCCACCCCTCGTCTTCATGTCAGTCCGATCTGTTCGGTGAGTTTCCTCATCCTGGGGGTAGCCTCCTTTGCCCCTGCCTGTGTAACCATACTGACCGCCGGGGTCTTCTTGGTAACCACCTTTATTGTGCCCCCCATAGGCGTACTGGTTATCTTGCTCGTCCCAGGCAGAGCCAAAGCCCATGTCACCCTGGAGATACTCTGGGTGGCCACGGTAACTAGGCATCCCAGCATTCACCTTCACTTGCTGTAACTGAGTTTGGAGGTCTTCCAAACCTTCAACTCTCTGGAAGTTTTAGCACAGGCATAAAAGTAAAACTACAGACATTCAATGACAATTGATCACAACATCTATTCAATTCTTGAAAAATGTATGCAAGTAGCGTAATTAAATTTCAATCAAAAATAAAGATTTCAAAATTGGATGGAGAAGGTCCTAAAATTGAGGACCAATATTTCTTACTGTTATATTATAACAGCATCATTTATTTTAAATACAAATCTATATACCATTACTTCAAATAAACAAAAAACAAATAATATCACTGCATGTATATGTATCAAAATGAATACTGGGTATACAGTTAAGAATTGATGCTTTTACTATCAAAGGATAACATAAATAATGTAGCATCACTTTCAATGATAGCTATAAAGACTATAGTATTCAAGTAAAGTAACATGTGTCTTTCATAACATAGAAATATGTTGAGTACATCAGACATGAAAAATGGTTTCTATATACATTTTACTAGGTTAAGTTGGATACAGAATGAAGTCTTACGGTATTTTTAAACCACTGAATTTGTTCTACCTGCTGGCACGCTGCTCCATTTTTCGCAATAAATCAGCCTTACAAAATCACATTGTATACTGATATATACCTGTACAGATTACAAACATGGAAATGAGACTGAAGCTGAAGCCTGGTTAATGGACTGTGGTGCAGACTAGGAAAGCAAATGTATCCTCAACAGTGCCACAAGCTATATATACCTGACGTCATATGTCTATACAAACTGAATACTGGTTCCAGGCAATGCTTTAGCGGTTTGTCCAGTTTATCCTGATATTTTTTGATGTTTTATGATACGAGTAAATGATATTCTTGTGATCTTTTAACAAAATTGTCTGCTGATGTCTTTCTATTTCTTAAAAGACAAATAACACATTTATGTAATATTACTATTAACATGAACGAATTAAAAATGGGAAAATATGATTAATACAAGCGTCTGGGAATTCTTCTACCTTGCAATACCTATAATTCTGCCTAAGGGAATAAGCTCCTGGGACGTCTACTATGGCTTATAGTACCATAATACAACTTTTGTCTATTTCATATCAACTCTTAATAAGTTAATTGAACTCCTATTACATCAAATTGTTTTGTGAATCCATTCTTTGTGTTACATCAATTCCCTACATCATCAATTATAAATTCTCTTTGATTCATTCAACCAACTTAAAAATCCCGTGATAAAATGAGTTTAAATAGAAATTTTGGAAAAAACGATCTTTTATTTGTTTCAACACTAATTGAACTGGTGATAAAATTCATAAACTTATTTCTTCCAATTAACATAATGATGGGACAGGCAGCTTATAATAGTCCCTATTCTAATGGAAGATGATTCAGTTCATCAGATGAATGACGATTCACTGTATTCCAAAATTTGCTGTCTTTTGCCCCATGAATGTAGAATTGCAATAATGAGATAGCACACATGCAGTAAAGATACTGAATCAGAAACCAGCACCAAGGGAGACAACCTACCAGTTTTTGTTCTGACTGTATCTTCATGCCAAGGACTGTCTTAACGGTTTGGATAGAGTCTGCCAGACGACGAACACTAGCCTGTACCTGTTAACACAAAAACACACACCAGGGACATATAATTTATTGCTACAGTCTTTAATGAATGAAAGACAATGTTATTTAGTGTGTATAAATAAAACATTCATTAAAATGACAAATGAGAACACTATTATACAACATACTAACATTTTGTTTTTGTGTGTGCTTTGTGTCCTATTAACAGCTATGGTCATTTAAGGACGTGCCAGGTTTTGGTGGTGGAGGAGAGCCGGAGTTCCCGGAGAAAAAACACTGACCTATGACCCTTCCCCATGTAGGTCTGTAGAACCCACGACCCAGTGGTGGAGGGCTAGTGGTAGCAGAATGCCAGACGCCTTAACTATTTAGCCACTGATGAGGCCCCCATACTAAAAATATCCCTCTAACATCAAAAATGTTGAAATCAAGAAACACTTGGCATTTATTGTTGTTGAACAGTCGGGAAAAGATGAATGATCATGATTAAATATAATGTCAGACACGGAGATGAAATCATACGATAGCCTGCAGTATTTCGTTTTTTTAATTTCATTCAAAGAATATGTCGTTTTTGTCAGATTTTTGTACTCTTGCAATTTTTCTGTTTCATATTTCGACATTAAATATAGAATTTCTGGTTTAAAATGAATGTAAAGTTAGAAGTTGATCTTCAATAATTTTCCTTTAATTCATTTGAAAAATCTTTTGATTCAGAACCAATTCCACAGGCCAAATCAATGACCATGCATATAAATAGGACAAAACACCTGAACATAACCATTAAAATAACCACATGTTTAACACCAGCCTCAAAACATTAAATATATCTGATAACCATTCACTGTAATATTTACGTTTTCTATGTCGGAGATGGTCGCAGCCTTAGGCTCTCGTTTCATCTTCAGCATCTGTACCTCCTGCTTCAGGTTTTCTATTTCCCTAATCCTGTATAACAACATCAAATTCAATTTAATATTTGAGCTCTTAAGCCATCTTTTGGACTTTAAATTTGATACATAGCAGGAGATTACAATTTGTTTTATTGATTGCAGACAATAATATTAAAACTCTTTGTGATTTCTTACCTTGCGTCTGCTTCTGCGGTCATTCTGGAATTCATCTCTGACTTCATAAGCGTTTGTTTCTCCTGTACACTGTATATCTGTAATGAATGAAGATAAAATATACAGCAAGAGATGTAAATTAACACATTGCATTATGATAGAATATAAAACAGGTAACTTTGGTATAACAGGGTTGCTTCCCTTGAGTAATATATCAGAAGGAAGACATGTTCACGGAAAATGTCTTCCTCAAAAATACTGAAATCTAGGATTGCAACCTAGTGCATCTTTGGGATTCTCTCAGATCAAATAAGTTTAATCACACAATCCTTACACAGAGCTAACAACCTCCTTAACAAATCCCAGATTGAGTTGCTTGCCTGCAACAGGAGATCTATACCAATTACACTTTTAAGAAGTTGTTGTTCCCCAAGACTGAGTTACTTTCCTTCCTTAGGAAGGTTCTTTCTCTCCAAACTGAGATACTTACCTCTTCAGGAAGTCACTGTTACTCCTGACTGAGCTACCTTCCTCCTTAACCCCAAGTTGTTATACCTCCAGACTTAGCTAACTACCTCCTCAGCCCCAAGTTGTTATACCTCCAGTCCAAGTTACCGACCTCTTCAGGAAGTTGTTGAACACCCTGATTTATTTCCTACCTTCTCAAGACTTGCTTTGACAACAGACTGAGCTACCTACCTCCTCAGCCCCGAGCTGTTGTACCTCAATGCTGAGCCACCTACCTCCTCAGCCCCGAGCTATTGTACCTCAATGCTGAGCCACCTACCTCCTCAGCCCCGAACTGTTGTACCTCAATGCTGAGCCACCTACCTCCTCAACCACGAGCTATTGTACCTCCATGCTGAGCCACCTACCTCCTCAGCCCCGAGCTATTGTACCTCCATGCTGAGCCACCTACCTCCTCAGGAAGCCACTTTGACCCCAGACTGAGCTACATGTACCTACTCCTCAGCCCCAAGTTGTTGTACCTCCATGCTGAGCCACCTGACTCCTCAGGAAGTTGCTGTGACACCAGAATAAGTGACCTAGCTCCTATGAGGAAGTTGCTATGACCCCAGACTGAGTGACCTATGTCCTCAGGAAGTTGCTGTGACCCCGGACAGAGTGACCTACATCCTCAGGAAGTTACTGTGACCCCAGACTGAGTGACTTACCTCCTCAGGAAGTATTTGTGACCCGGTCCACACTGAGTGACCTATGTCCTCAGGAAGTTACTGTGACCCCGGACTGATGACCTACCTCCTCAGGAAGTTACTGTGACCCAAGACTGAGTGACTTACCTCCGCAGGAAGTTACTGTGACCCAAGACTGAGTGACTTACCTCCTCAGGAAGTATTTGTGACCCGGTCCACACTGAGTGACCTGTGTCCTCAGGAAGTTACTGTGACCCCGGACTGAGTGACCTACCTCCTCAGGAAGTCGTTGTACACCTAGACTCAGCTCCTTCACTGTCTGTGATGTTTGTTCCTGCCAGGCTGAAATTGTATCCACTTTCTCTCGTAGACTCTCGGCCAGATTTTGCGATGCCTGTATGGAACAGAGGAAATAAGAATAAACACCAACAATAGGATTTGTGGAATTCCAGACAATGGCCATTGATGAAGTTAATTCTAGTCCATTCTGATAAGTTATTTAGTGTTTTTATCTATCCCTGAAATCATTAGTTCAACAGTCAGACAGAAATGGAATATTTGATTTTCAACTGAATTAACAGTTTAAATAAGAGCTTTACCAAATTTTGTTTAGTATTAAGAGAAAAGATTACAGACACAAAAATTATTAGAAAAGCTTGTGAATACATTTAAAAAACATTAAATGGTGAGATAGTATATATGATTGTGTGTACCAAAATTATAAAGTGATACTACCGGTAAATGTTTTACAACAATGAAAGAAAATTTGACAAGAAAAGCATGTGTGTTTGTAGGAAAATACAGCAATGTATAACAACTATCTTTCAACAAGTCATTCCTAGCAGAAATGGAAACAGCTATTTTAAAAAATACCCAATCTAATGCTATGTACTACAGCTATAAAAGGGATCAATTCTAAATCTCCTCATTTTTGCACTAAAAATGGCTTTCTGTATCCCACTTCCTGATCATACGAAGTGACTTAAGCAGCACCCCCTATAGAATCTCAGGTTTTCTTTAGTGTCTTGCTTCTTGCTCATGATTTGGCCACCTATGTACATGTACTACAAGTACATTCACCACTGCACAAATATAACTTAAAACACGAAACGGCAGGAATCCGCTCCCCAGTACAGGTATGTATTGATCTGACAGACATATAAAACATTCACTTCAAACATCCAGATGACAGGTGATGTAAAATGTTTGTTTAGGATTTAAACCACACTGAAGCCATTTTGATAACGGGCATGACAGTTTTATCATACAGGTGAAAAAAAGGACTTGAAAAACATCACACAAAAAGGGTAGAATCAATCAACTTGAGTAAATAATACACACATGTACCTTTACAAATGTATAGGTAATTATAAAGTACAGTACAGAAATAGAGCACTCTTCAGGACAAGAGGAAGAAAAAGGAGATAAGAGGCCTATTGATCTGTCCTACTTCACTAAGACAAACAAGAGGTCAACATATATATCCTTCATTGCCATTGTACGACCTTGAAAACATTTAGGACAAGCTTAGTCTAGGACTTTTTAAAAAGTCATAACTTGATTAAAAAGATCTTGATTTCTGCAAAATTGCAAGTGGAAATTCAGACTTACAACATCCTTTGGATTATGCTTTTATAATATTGCATTAGATATAAAAGAAGCAAAGAAACTTAAATCTGTCTATAATAGGTCACTATAGAAATAAAGTCAAAATTACCATGACTATATATAAAACAACTACACAACATCAATTCACAAGGTTTATGTACCTCTTGTTGTTCAGCCGCCTGTTATGGCATTAAAACAAAATACATAACAAATGTATTAAACCAATTAAGTACTTACTTGTTCATTAAATCAAAGTATAGCATACATACTTGTTCATTTTCAGTGACCTATACCTGTATACATTCCTGTTTCACAGTTACTAACAATCTCCTAGTTGTGATCCTCTAATGTTTTATTAACATTCCTCTCTGTCCCAAGTCAAAATTACCAAAAATACAATCTGTAAAAATAAACCTTGTCCACAATTGTCAAGCAATTGAAGCTGATTTTATAATGGTTAATATTCTAAAAATCTATTGTCAACATGTTATTTCAATTATTCAATTTTTTTTGGAGAGGGGCTTAAAAGTAGTGACAGATTCATATCAGCTGAAATCTATGGTCAGTGTGTTTTACTTATACATGTTGACCGCAGTATATAAACACCATCACATGGACACTTTTTTTGTCAAAACCACTAAGGTCTAATGATTTTTGTTTTAAAGTAAATAAAAATACTAACATTGATGACATTTGTAAAACTAGAGAATTAATAAGGGTTCTACTTAATAAAGACTACTGGTTGATAAGCACTGTGATAACTAAAGTATATACATGTAAATATTCAAAACTACAGAGAAATAATACCTTAGGGTCCTGTAAAGTAAGGAAAGACATGAGGTTTACCGTTATTTTATGATTACAATTCCTATGGATGATAATCAATTTGGAGGAAATAAAGATAATTTATATTGTTAATAATAGAAGCATCACTGAATACCTAGCTGAGGATGGAGAGTGTAAGACATGCAAAATGATACTTCTAGTACACACTAGGATTGTTTACATATATCGCTAATTAAAGAAACACTTTATAATTTCAGAAGAAAGTTCAACAACATTGAAAATCCTTAGACCTAGTTTCTACAAAGGAAAACATGCATTACACTTTGCTGTGAACGCACAGCTGTTTGAAATGTCCATTAACTTTTGTAAAACATTGGTGTCTATATCTTCTGGTGTTAGCGAACTGTTGATATTTATCTTGTATCGTATCAAGTCTAGACTGGAAGCTAGAAAACATCTACAACAAGTAGCTGTAGAAGTCAGTGGAAAGTAGTAGTACAGCTATCGTTCATAGATTGCAGTTGTTCTTTAGCCTCTGTTAAAGTCACTTATTTAATATCAAGCTGAATAGTTACAAAAAATATAACAAACAGTCAAACAATCCATACAAGCAAGAACCTGCATTCTTAAAGGACAATTTCACAATAATTTGTATTATAGCTAAGCTGAAGACAAGTTTAATAAAAGAAAAAATAGGAAATTCTGAGAATTGATTTAAACAGAAAGATACAACTATTTTTTTAAGAGAAAATATACAAGACCTTACAATAATTAGTTCTACAACTGGTAAGCCTTTATTACTCACCGGTAACAGCTACGGAAAGATGGTCAATTCTTTTTTATTATATTTTTACTTGCCAATGTCTAAAGCTACTGCAATATATAATCTGTCACTGATTATGTCTAGTGTAAGTCACAGGTCACTGATTTTGTCTAGTGTGAGTCACAGGTCACTCATTATGTCTAGTGTGAGTCACAGGTCCCTGATTATGACCGATTATGTCTAGTGTAAAAAAACAGGTCAATGATGATGTCTTGTGTAAGTCACAGGTCATTGATTATGTCTAGTGTGAGTCACAGGTCCCTGATTATGTCTAGTGTAAGTCACAGGTCACTGATAATGTCTTCTGTAAGTCACAGGTCACTGATTATGTCTTGTGTAAGTCACAGGTCACTGATTATGTCTAGTGTGAGTCACAGGTCACTGATTATGTCTAGTGTGAGTCACAGGTCCCTGATTATGACTGATTATGTCTAGTGTAAAAAAACAGGTCAATGATTATGTCTTGTGTAAGTCACAGGTCATTGATTATGTCTAGTGTGAGTCACAGGTCACTGTTTATGTCTAGTGTGAGTCAAAGGTCCCTGATTATGACTGATTATGTCTAGTGTAAGTCACAGGTCACTGATTATGTCTAGTGTAAGTCACAGGTCACTGATAATGTCTTCTGTAAGTCACAGGTCACTGATTATGTCTTGTGTAAGTCACAGGTCACTGATTTTGGAAGTCACTATGCATGACCAGATTAAGACATGTCACTGTCTATGTTAAGATATTTTCGTAATCACTTGTCTTATAACATTCTCATAAGTAACTGAGTATGTCTATAAGACATATGCCTTGCCACTGGTTATATCTGTAAGACGTTTCCCTTACCATTGAGTATGTCAGGGAGACATTTCCCTGGTATGCAATCTTACCGTTATACCTTTATCTACATAAGTTCTAAGATATGATTGACGTACATTATATACCTACACTGGTATTAAACCTTTTCATTCTTGTACATAACGATATTCTTAGTTAAAAACGGTAATGGTTATGTTAGAAACATGCAGATGTACAGACATGCAGTACAGTGTCCAGTTAATGATGATATACAAACAGGGTTCAATTTTCTAGCAAAGGAGTTATTAAGACTTTTAATCACATTACTGTGATGTGTAACATAGCTGAGTGGATGTGATCTTTGTGCATCTTATATTCATTATGTGTGTCGCAAAAACTTACAGCGGCCATTTTAGCTTCCAGTTTCTCTTCCAAATCATTCATTCGATTTTTTGAGTAGTTCATCCTAGCATCTAGGTCAGTGAGACTCCTCGTCGTTCCCTCCTTCTGTTCAGCCAACAATGTACGCATTTCACGGCGAAGCTGAAAGTAATTGAGACGAAAGGATTGTGAATACTGCTTGTAAATCCAGTGACTGAAATCTATTCTTCTATGTTTTTAAATATTTTTTGCACTGTATATAGCATGTGACAAAATTTATAGAGAGCCAATTGACTTAGTGTGAGAAGTAATTAGAAGGAGAAGTCTGCCTACAGACTTGTTCCATGTATTTTTATGCTCGACTATTTTATGGAGTCTATAATCCTTCGGAAATGAAGCAAATACAAATGATGAAACACATTTTCTATAAAAAGTAATGAAGACATTCACTTTGGCATTTGGAAACACAAGCTCATTCAAGGTATTCTCAGACTTGACCATCATATGATAAGTTTGATAAAAATTCATAGAAAATAAAAAGATGGCAAATATGCTATGCACTGCCCTCATGACAATATCACAAGGGATTTAAAATGAAGGTCAAATTTCTCCCTTACAATTAGTTAAATTACACAAATATTCGCTGTAAGAGATTATCTTGTTAAAGATAGTACTTTTCGGTGGTTATAGTTTTATTTAACAGTGATAGAAATCTAGTACATGAATTATTTATAAATGGAGGGGGTCCTTACTTTTTCATGCTGGTTGTTGGCAGTATGAGTTATCCCCCCTATAGACTGCTGCAGAGTAGAGGTCGCTATCTGCAGCTTTTCGTTGACACTGCCTATTTTTTCTGCTGTGTCTCTTTCATGTATTTTCCTGCAGTCATAATAAAAACACAGATATAAACTACTTCCATATACAAAATACACGACTTTAAAACAAGGTCATTAAAGTGGGATGGAGACTATATGACAGGGACTTAAATTAGAACATTATCTAAGCATTTAGTAGCATTTTTATATGATCGCACTGATATATCTACATATTGGTGACAAGTTTCAAGTTAAATCACATCATGATTTATCATTACATATATGCTGCAGAGTATGTGCAATAATATAAAGATTTCATCTTAAATGTTATCATACTTTTCAAGTCAGCACAAAAGGGCCTAAAATATGACGATACCTATCACAGTAAAACAAATCTACTACAGAGTTACACACACCTTTGACTTATCTCCGCTGCCATCACCTTCTCAAACGACTTTTTCGTTTCTAGCACCTGTTTCTCAAGAATGGTAATTGAGTCGTCTAATTTGCCAAGAGTGTTTTTTGTCTTTCCTTTCTCAGTCTGAAAGTGAAATCAGGTCATTATATAGGTACATCATTTCAATACTAAATAACAAAAATTGGCATGCAATACTGACTTTGTACATGTAACATTCACTTTTATCCTCTCTGACCAAACTCCAATTAATTAACAGACACCTGTACAGTATAGTGTTTTAATGCCACAACGTCAAAGATGTGCCAGAAACAAATTCACAGGTTTTAAATTACACACTAAACCTTTGTATGCTGATGTTCTTACTTATCTAACTCTCTTATAGTCTCTATCTAAAGGGAAACAAAAACAACCCCTTGATTAAGAAAGGTCCTGTGTAGTTTCGTCAAAAATATAGCCTATAAAGTAATTACCAAGAGTATGACAGTGAAATTGTATTTTTCGCAACAGTGACCTATGACCAATAAAAGCAATATTTTAACTTGTCCAAGGCATTTAAAGTTAAACATACCTGTGAAGTTTTATCAAAATCTATAAAACAATGAGGCTGCAAGTGTGATGACAGAAAAATAGAAATATTAAACCATCCTCCAGCTTTGCATAGTCAGGGACACAAATATATATGTACTATACAATACTTTACAAAATGTGTCTGATCTTGCACATTTGATGTCATATACAAGCCCATTATGACACTTTTCCTACACCTGCATGGTCACACCTACCTTCATGAGGTCTTTGATCTCGACAGCCTGTTCATCTTGGACCTTCTTCAGCGTGCCAAGCCTCTTTTCCAACTCGTCCCGTGTAGCCCGCTCATACTCTCGTCTTGTGCCCTGGTCCTGCTGTAGGACCTGATACACACAATAAAGTTCAACAATAACAAGGTTACCGCGAGCGGTATATAATACGCCCGTCACACACTGAATGAGCAGTTGTTTGTATGATTGAAATATATGACGTATTTGTGAGTAATTGATATTAAAAGAGAAATCATTCAACATAACTGGTAGATCAATGAGTGCAATACAACATCATGGAACGCATGCATCGCATTAATGAAACCAAGGGGAATAACTCCAATAATTACGGTCGGATAATAATAGTTATCATACTTGTCCGAGTTTTCATGGTAATTAACCTTGTTGTGAAGTTTGAAGTTTATCCGTTAATAATTACTCGAGATATCGAGCGGACACTGTTTCGGCAAGTCCATAAAGGGGCATAACTCCACAAATTATGGTCGGATAATGGCGATTATCGAACTTGTCTGAGGTTTCATGGTAATTAATCTTGTTGTGGAGTTTGAAGTTAATCCGTTAATAATAACTTGAGATATCGAGCGGACACTGTTTCAGCAAGTCCATAAAGTGGCATAACTCCACAAATTATGGTCGGATAATGGCGGTTATCGAACTTGTCCGAGGTTTCATGGAAATTAACCTTGTTTTCGAAGTTTGAAGTTAATCCGTTAATAATTACTCGAGATATCGAGCGACACTGTTTCGGCAAGTCCATAAAGGGGCATAACTCCACAAATTATGGTCGGANTGTATTGACTGGATTATTCCTCTACAGTGAAACCTGTTCAAATCAAACATCACCAAGCCCAAGTTCGGATTGGAGAGGTTATTTCCTTATTAAAGTAAATTTGTGTCTGTAAAGGAATTTTACAATTATGTATAAGGACTGTTTACAGTGGGACTTTAGTAAAATTTGGTTTTATAAAGGTTTCCAGTTTATACAGGGGTATGGTTAGACATATTTCTCAAATGAATTTTGTGACAAGGATCCATTATGTTTATTACAAGTATATGAAGCTTATGTATTTCCATATGTTCAAAATCATCTTTTAGAGTTAACAAATGAAACAAACAAGATTGAGTCCTCAAAGAGACACTGACCCGCTCCAGCTGGAGGTACCTGTCCTGGACCTCCCCTCGGATTTTGATATCCTTTTCCATCAGTTTCTTGTTGAGGTCCTCCACAGTGTCCGCGACCTTGGTTGTCAAGGATAGCCGGTCAGCTTGTGTAGCATGTTCCCGCTCGCGTAGCACCATGTCCATGGAGTGGACAGTCTCGTCTCGTTTACGGTTCGCCTCCGCCAGCGACTGCTGTAGCTCGTTGATTCTAGAAATAGCCCAAAACACAGGGTTTGAGACTTTATAAATTATTCAGGGTTTGAGACTTTATAAATAAAACAATCAGCATTTGCCTTTACTAGAAATTATTAATTTAAAATCTTATTTTTGTTGAAATAATGCTTTTAACCATTCTTTTTTCGCATAAGCATGACCCAAATTTACTTTATACATCTTAATCTTATATTTATAAGATATGTATAACCGCTTTACCTGCAATAACTTTTATATGCTTTTGTAATTTTTATACATAACAAGCATGGCCCAAACTATACCTTGTCACTACCTGTATTAGTTGTTAGCATTTCTCATTATTTCACTTACTTTTGTTGCATACTTTGTTCAAGTCCACGTCGTTCAGAAACTTCATTTTCCTGTTTTGTTCGTACGTCAACCAGTACATCCCGTAGCTCTGTTAATCTGTAAAAACAAAATTTACAGACAACAATAGCCAACTCTTACTCTAGATAAATGAAAATACAATTCCCCCACCCCTTCCTTTTTTTTAAGTACAGGTATATGTGAATGAATGAAGGTTCATGTGAAAATCAACCCCAACCCCTTCCCCAGTAGGGTGCTCGACATATGTGTAGTGAGATTTGGCAAGGGAACACTGGTGCTATGTCATACGGCGTGTGTTATGATGAGACCATGATATTGTTGCATTGTTGTTATTAAAATTTGATTGTTTTATCAATAATTAAACTTGCTTCATTGACTCTGTTATATTTCAAGCTCCGACAAACAAATAATTTTAAGCTCACCCAACGAAAGATCTCAAAATAAACAAATCAAAAGATCTGCTCTTTGACAAATACAACATGCCACAAGTAGGTATCATTAGCTACTTAATGTTGAACGACTTTAACATGTTGTACGTTGAGGGTGGTTACCTGGTTTCCACCTGTCCTCTCAGGAGTGTAGCCTGCTGCTCTGACTGGGACTGGTTAGAGGTATGCTTTCTGAGGGCATCCAGCTACAATTGACAGAGAAACTTATCAATACAAGGTTTTACAGTGGCAGATAAAATCATCAGTCAATATGCTTATGGAGGAGGAGGTCACCAATCAATGACACACATATCACTGTTTCCATGTAAACAATGTCGTGATGTATTGAAGAACTGCAGGTAGTGCCGAGTACACACGGTTCATCACTGCCAGTCTTTGTATAATGATGGAGATAGCACAATGATCATCTGTCAGATAAGGAAACAACAGTAGTGGACCCCCTAATTAACCATCAGCTGTTTTATAACCTTAGATACGCACACAAATAAAGTTACTAATCATGGCCTAATGAATTAGATATATGTACAGAATGAGCTACAGTTTATAGCCTTAGACACGTTTACAGAAAAGTTACTAATCATGGCCTAAAGAATTAGATATATGTACAGAATGAGCTACTATTTATAGCGTTAGACACGTGTACAGAACAGGTTACTTCTTATAGCCTACTGAATTAGATATATGTACAGAATGAGCTACAATTTAGAGCCTTAGACACATGTACAGAATGAGCTACTATTTATAGCCTACTGAATTAGATATATGTACAGAATGAGCTACTATTTATAGCCTTAGACACATGTACAGAACAAGGAATCACTTACGGCCTAATGAATAATATGCTACTATTTATAGCCTTATTTACTATCTATAGCCTTAGATACGTTATATACACATAGAGAACAAGTTACTAACGTACTTACAGTATCTTGTGATCAAAAACTATTACTCAAAGTAAAGGAAGTAGGTGTATTGCAGCATAATAAAATAGCATTCATAAGCATTTCAAAGGAACTGTATATGGCATGGGTGGGCTTATTGCTAGGCATGGGCTAATTACTGGACATATGAAGTACAACCTTAGATCAAGTTCATTATTGCAACCACTTATAAGGTCAGTTACTACTTATCAATTAAGATACATGGATGTAAGCTTTTAAATTACGAATATATTCATGATAAGAATTATATTTATTACATAACAGTGGGAACTTCCTGAAGGTCCACTGATCTTAATTATAGTTTATTTCACCAACATGTGTGTAACACAAATTGTCATATGAACAAGCAGTCCTTTTGCCTAATATAAAATTATTTTAGGATGAAGTAAACACTCAAAAACATCTTAAAATCGTTTCGGTGGGTTTGGTTGATATGAATTAGAATGGGGATAACCCTACTGTGTTTTTCGGCGTCGCCAGTAAAACTCAATTTGCGACAGTATAATCTTGATATACCGCCACAAATTTCTAAATAAATAAGTAGGGTTATTCCTTAAATACACAAAAAATGGTTAGCTAAATAAAGCCCTATTTACACACAGTACATGCTAACTATAGTACAGGTACATGTACAAACTAAGAGATTACTGTCCACAAAATTAAAAGCAGAGATCAGATTACATAGACCTGATGTAGAAGATTCTAAAGGCATGGTTAGTTGTCTTGAGTTATGAGAGCACAAATCAATACCTGTAATGCATTAAGCTGCTGATCAAACAATAAAGTAGTTCCTATTTTGATCCGCAAATATTGATAGTGTCTCTCAATATCACAACTAATCTTGTAACCTGTTATACAACGACAGATGGTTTCATTGGGAATAACATGGACACACACGTCCCTACTTGAGAAAACGAAATGAAGATAAGTTTACTAGGAAGGATATGTTGGTGTGTACAGAAGGGGAGACAGGTGAGGTCATTGTAAAGGGAGGAATATGTCGGTGTGTACAAGGGGGAGACAGCTGAGGTCATTGTAAAGGGAGGAATATGTCGGTGTGTACAAGGGGGAGACAGCTGAGGTCATTGTAAAGGGAGGAATATGTCGGTGTGTACAAGGGGGAGACAGCTGAGGTCATTGTAAAGGGAGGAATATGTCGGTGTGTACAAGGGGGAGACAGCTGAGGTCATTGTAAAGGGAGGAATATGTCGGTGTGTACAAGGGGGAGACAGCTGAGGTCATTGTAAAGGGAGGAATATGTCGGTGTGTACAGGGGGGAGACAGCTGAGGTCATTGTAAAGGGAGGAATATGTCGGTGTGTACAGAAGGGGATACAGCTGAGTTCATTGTAAAGGGAAGAATATGTCGGTGTGTGAAGAAGGGGATACAGCTGAGGTCATTGTAAAGGGAGGAATATGTCGGTGTGTACAAGGGGGATACAGCTGAGGTCATTGTAAAGGGAGGAATATGTCGGTGTGTACAGAAGGGGATACAGCTGAGGTCATTGTAAAGGGAGGAATATGTCGGTGTGTACAGAAGGGGATACAGCTGAGGTCATTGTAAAGGGAGGAATATGGTTTGTGTGATAGAAGGGGAGACAACTGAGATCCATGTTTAGGGAGGAAATTTGATTAGTGTGTACATAAGTGACATCCAAGGTCATTTTATAGGGAGTAATATGGTTTGTGTGATAGAAGGGGAGACAACTGAGATCTATGTATAGGGAGGAATATGGTTTGTAGATATAGGAGGGGAGACAACTGAGGTCATTGTTTAGAAAGGAATATGGTCTGTGTGTAGAATAGGGGAGACGATTGAGATCCATGTATAGGGAAGAAATTTGGTTTGTGTGTATAGGAGAGGAGAAAGGTGAGGCCCATGTATAGAGAGGAATATGGTTTGTGTGATAGAAGGGGAGACAACTGAGGTCAATATATAGAAAGGAATATGGCTTGTGATTATTGGAGGGGAGACAGGTGAGGTCCATGTGTAGGAAGGAATATGTTTTGTGTGTATAGGAGGGGAGACAGATGAGGCCCATGTATAGGGAGAAATATGGTTTTTGTGATAGAAGGGGAGACAACTGAGGTCCATATATAGGAAGGAATATGGTGTGTGTGTATAGGAGGAGAGACAACAGAGATCCATGTATGGGGAGGAAATTTGGTTTGTGTGTATGGAAGGGGAAACAACTGAGGTCCATATATAGGAAGGAATATTGTGTGTGTGTACAGTAGGGGAGACAACTGAGGTCCATATGAAGGAAGAAATATTGTTTGTGTGTATAGTAGGGGAGACAACTGAGGTTCAAATGTAGGAAGGAATATGGTTTGTGTGTATAGGAGGGGAGACAGGTGAGGCCCATGTGTAGGAAGGAATATTGTTTGTGTGTATAGGAGGGGAGACAGGTGAGGTCCATGTGTAGGAAGAAATATTGTTTGTGTACATAGGAGGGGGGACAGGTGAGGCCCATGTGTAGGAAGGAATATGGTTTGTGTGTAGAAGGGGAGACAGGTGAGGCCCATGTGTAGGAAGGAATATTGTTTGTGTGTAAAGGAGGGGAGACAGGTGAGGCCCATGTATAGGAAGGAATATGGTCTGTGTGTATAGGAGGGGAGACAGGTGAGGCCCATGTATAGGAAGTAATATGGTTTGTGTGTATAGGAGGGGAGACAGGTGATGCCCATGTGTAGGAAGGAATATAGTTTGTGTGAATAGGAGGGGAGACAGGCGAGGTCCATGTGTAGGATGGAATATGGTTTGTGTGTATAGGAGGGGAGACAGGTGAGGTCCATGTGTAGGAAGGAATATTGTTTGTGTATATAGGAGGGGAGACAGGTGATGCCCATGTATAGAAAGGAATATGGCCTGCGTGTATAGGAGGGGAGACAGGTGAGGCCCAAGTATAGGAAGGAATATTGTTTGGGTGTATAGGAGGGGAGAAAGGTGACGCCCATGTGTAGGAAGGAATATTGTTTGTGTGTATAGGAGGGGAGACAGGTGAGGCCCATGTATAGGGAGGAATATGGTTTGTGTGTAGAAAGGTAGATGACTGAAGCCCATGTATGGAAAGGAATATGCATGGTTTGTACTGTGTAGAGGAAGACTCATCAAACATAACACTATATGCCTGTACCTGTGTTTGTTGCATGTTTACCAGGTTGAATGGGCTTTTAACATTCCTTTAAAAGTGGAAGAAATGAGGATGGGGAGTATGAAAAGTATTAAAGGGAGACGACTATAGGTATAAATGATCTAGGTATATCTTAGAGTACAACACAGTTACCTTCTCCTCCTGCAGGCAATGACAAAAATAGATACAAACATATAAACCGATGTAGCCAATCATCGTTTTATCACCGTAAAAATGGTTATTTAAACGGGAGGGGCATAGACATTAATGTCACTGGGAGGGGTTTATCACTGGTGCTTATACAAAAGGGCTGGGCCAATCACTGTAATATAAATGGGAGTAAAAACACTTATACATGTACATATCCTTAATTTATTATTGTCACTATTTGATATCATTGACAAGATTATAATAGTGACTGCTGTGGCCTTGACCTTGGTGTCATCTTATGATTTACTGATGTACATTTTTCAAAATTGAAGGAACAAAAAAATCACAAAATAAATTAAAATGCAATTAAGTCAACATTTCTTTGTGAAGACAGGAAGGGGAAGGCAGATACATATGTACAATAAATACTTTCATACTAGGGCAATTACTTTGTGAAAATGTAACCAAAATTTTAGGTTAAAGATGAGATACATCCCAAGGGAAACACTGTACTCTAAGGGTATATTGTGGACAATTTCATGTCACCTAAAAGTATACATATATCAGAATACATCTATATGTAACAAGTAAAAATAATGATAGAGCACTTTGCTGGTAAAAATCAATTAGTGACGCCAATTAGTGTGTCATAGTGAATGAGTCTAGATCATGGAAGAATCAATACAGCGACCTTCTTTAATATTTTATATCGCTAGTGAATTTATGTACACATAAAACCTGTCGTTTGTCAGCATGACCCGGATACCATTTCTGGATACAAACAGCCCTATTGGTCTGTAGACTCCACACAGCAGACAGGTATCTAACCGTTAAGTTACTCAGTATAATACTAATGTTGACGGTAACATTCAAAAACTTAAGATCTTAAGGTCCAAAGGATTAATCTAATTCTATTTTGTGAATCATTGACTCACTCAACCGTGGAAGGGTGCCAGTCTCCGCAGTGCTACTTCCCATAATGCTGGTACTTATTTTGACAGCTGAGTAGACTTTAACAGTAGGGAGAAAGTGTCTTTTTCAATGACACTACACCGGTAGCTTATTTCTCTCAGTGTGGTTAATTTATTATGATATTCAGATCAGTTGTTAAGGTCTGAATAGCATAATATGTCATCAATAAAAACTTTTAAATTGATGTGATTTTGAAAAACAGTGTTTTGTTTTGTGTTTCTGTCTTTTGGAAGTCAATTTGAATCCCTATAGATACAATTTTAACTGTGATTTTCAATATTTTAACATGTTTTAGATGGAAAGTTTGTGTTAACTTGTCCTTATGAGTTATAAATGTAATTAGGCTTTGAACAGTAGATTTGTCCAATAAGCACCTCACTTGAATGCTACAGCACAAACACTGTAACACCCACTTCACGCATTTCATATTCCACCTAGGTTACAGGAGTTGTGTGGGCTGGAGAAAACAAAGACAGCCTGGATATAACCCTAAAGTCATCATAGCAGAGCAAATGTTTTCCTCTTGCTAACACAACTCCAATGACAAAGGTGGGACGTAAAATGGTAGGGAGAGGGTGATACAGCGTCTGTGCTGCAATATTCAAGTGATGTGGAACTATGGGGATAAGATGCTGTTGAACGCACCGCCCCATTGCAATACAGAACACTGATATACCTCCAGTTTATGTCTAGGCAGACGCATATTTGGAAGTTATAACTTATATGTTGTATTCCCAGATGAAATTATGGCAAGCTTTGGTACTCTACATAAGGACCATGTTTGTGACAGGTAAATTATGCCAATATTTTGTATGTATATGATAAGATGTGATAACACACCTTGTTGATATTCATGTTAATCTGTTTACATTCCATCATAGGTTTATAGGAAATGTTTACTTTAAATATAACTGTTTACCTTGCTTTGAATACTACACTTTACAAGTGGTCATTCAATGTCAGTCTCATACAGAAGGCGACAATGATGTGACAATGTTTTGTTCCTTATAATGTGTTAGAGAAACCCACATGAATAACACAGAACCAATTCAAGAGGAGCTTTTGAAAGATCCCCCCAGTACTTACTGAGGAAAATGAGATGACAAACTTTAACTATCAGAATTAAAAGTTGACCGCCTGGCAGCCATCTTGTTCTTGTAATCAGTTCCAAAACTGAATATGCACAACTATGAACCAGCTTGAGAGTTTGACAGTTTAGCCTTTTTCAGCACTTTCTGAGAAATAGTAATAGCAAAAATGATTTAAGAATGGACAATAAATGGACAGACTAAGGACGATTGGTCCACCCCCCATCTGATGGCCTAGACTCTAGATCAGGAGGTATAGGTGGACCATGCTGTGACAGTAAATATAAACACTTTATCAGAAATCACTGTTCTTGATGCTGCAATGGCAAGGTTGTAAAGTAGTTACATACCTGAGCTCGGTTCTCATCCTCCAACTTCTTGGACTTGTTTTTTAAATCCCCTGACACTGCATTAAAGTCGGCGGCTTGTGAATCCACCTTGATTTTTAATGTTCGGAGGTCATCAGCCAGCTGAAAGGCAACTCGTTCTAGCTGGGACTTGGCTTGTAAAACCTCTTCAAGGTCAACACGCATTTCTGAAAGTCTGAAAAAAAAAATGTCCAGGTAATGGTCAGAAGACCAGACATGCCTACAAATGCAAACTTTGTTGTACACAATTATATTAGGCACTGCAAACAAGAGGCCAATTGAGCCCCAAAGATTAAGGGAAAGTCTCAACAAATTTGTGGCTTTGACAGTTTTACACATGACACTTTAAATCAACCCTGCAAACTCATTTATATCTCCAGCCAGCTTTTCAATGTGCAGGAGATGATAAGACTTACTTGGATCCCTGAATATCTCTCTTAGTAAGAAGTTCATTCTGACTGCTCTTCACAGCTTGTTCCACTCCTTTTGTGTGATTGACAAGGGAAGATAACGCTGACTTTTCATCTTGAAGTTTTTCCTCTGCATCTTTAATTCGTGTTCCAAGCTGAGATATAAGTTCATTGCTAATTTTAATCGCTGACTCCAGATTCTGTCTGGAGTTTCTCTCATCCCTGAGAATGTCTTCATTCCTGCGTGTGGATGATTTGATGTCCCCTTGTAACCGTAAAACCTCCTCCAGGAGTGCTCGGTTTGACTTCTCTGCCACTGAGAGCCGTACTTCCATCTGTCTAAAACGATCGTCCCCTTCATAGTCAATATACCCTGGACTGGTCTTACGACCTTGGAGGGGGACAAGCTGGCCCTCTTGCACTCGTGGAGTATTGATGTTAGGAAGTTGGCTGTACCGAGACTGGAGCTGGGCCGGGGGCCTGAACAAATGAAGGTACAGTATTAATACAACGTAACCAAAGTTGTTTGTCTAGATTTTATGGTCTAATATGTAAGAAGTATATTATTATGTAATGTGCAGTAATGTAATTTATACATAACCTGATTGACACTTAGTACAGATAGGTGTACATAGTGAACTGATCTTACATTATAATAATAGTTTGACATTTGTCCTCAAACATTGAGGACAAAAAATGTTGTTTTTTACATAATTTATCTTGACAGATTCAAAATCAAAGATTTTATTTATTTATGCATAACCAGTTCACTTTTACAACAGTTCAAAATGCTTACAAGGAACTATCACAACACAAAAAACCATGAGCTATAGGGCCTATGCGAGCATAATTATCTCTGGCCTATAACATTTTCATTCATACCATACAAACTGTGACCTATTTATCATACCATACAAACTGTAACCTATTTATCATACAATACAAACTGTAACCTATTTATCATACCATACAAACTGTTACCTATTTATCATACCATACAAACTGTGACCTAATACAGACTGTTACCTATTTATCACACCATACAAAGTGTGACCTATTTATCATACCATGCAAACGGTGATCTATTTGTCATACAATGCAAACTGTAACCTATTTATCATACCATACAGACTTTAACCTATTTATCATACCATACAAACTGTAACCTTTTTATCATACCATACAAACTGTGACCTATTTATCATACCATACAAACTGTGACCTAATACAGACTGTTACCTATTTATCACACCATACAAACTGTAACCTATTTATCATACCATACAAACTGTTACCTATTTATCATACCATACAAACTGTGACCTATTTATCATACAATGCAAACTGTAACCTATTTATCATACCATACAGACTGTAACCTTTGTATCATACCATACAAGCTGTAACCTATTTATCATACCATACAAACTGTAACATATTTATCATACTATACAAACTGTAACCAACTTATCATACAATACAAACTGTAACCTATTTATCATACCAGACAGACTGTAACCTATTTATCATACAATACAAACTGTAACCTATTTATCATACCAGACAGACTGTAACCTATTTATCATACAATACAAACTGTAACCTATTTATCATACCAGACAAACTGTGACCTATTTATCATACAATGCAAACTGTAACCTATTTATCATACCATACAGACTGTAATCTATTTATCACAACATACACACTGTAACCTATTTATCACAACATACAGACTGTAACCTATTTATCACAACATACAGACTGTAACCTATTTATCACACCATACAAACTGTAACCTATTTATCACACCATACAAAGTGTGACCTATTTATCATACCATACTAAGTGTGACCTATTTATCATACCATACAAACTGTAACCTTTTTATCATACCATACAAACTGTTACCTATTTATCATACCATACAGACTGTAACCTATGTATCATACCATACAGACTGTAACCTATTTATCACAACATACAAACTGTAACCTACTTATCATATCATACAAACTGTGACCTATTTATCATACCATACAGACTGTAACCTTTGTATCATACCATACAAACTGTAACCTATTTATCATACAATACAGACTGTAACCTATTTATCATACCATACAGACTGTTACCTATTTACCATACAATACAAACTGTAACCTATTTATCATACCAGACAAACTGTGACCTATTTATCATACAATGCAAACTGTGACCTATTTACCACACCATACAAACTGTGATCTATTTATCACACCATACAAACTGTGACCTATTTATCACACCATACAAATTGTGACCTATTGATCATACCATACAAAATGTAACCTATTTATCATACCATACAAACCGTGACCTATTTATCATACCATACAGACTGTAACCTTTGTATCATACCATACAAGCTGTAACCTATTTATCATACCATACAAACTGTAACATATTTATCAAACTATACAAACTGTAACCAACTTCTCATACAATACAAACTGTAACCTATTTATCATACCATACAAAGTGTGACCTATTTATCATACCATACAAAGTGCGACCTATTTATCATACCATACAAAGTGTGACCTATTTATCATACCATCCAAAGCGTGACCTATTTATCATACCATACAAAGTGTGACCTATTTATCATACCATACAAACTGTGACCTATTTATCATACTATACGAACTGTAACCAATTTATCATACAATACAAACTGTAACCTATTTATCATCCCATACAGACTGTAACCTATTTATCATACAATACAAACTGTAACCTATTGTTCATACCATACAGACTGTTACCTATTTATCACACCATACAAACTGTAACCTTTTTATCATACCATACAAACTGTGACCTATTTATCGCACCATACAAACTGTGACCTATTTATCACACCATACAAACTGTGACCTATTTATCACACCATACAAACTGTGATCTATTTATCACACCATACAAACTGTGACCTATTTATCATACCATACAGACTGTAACCTATTTATCACCCCATACAAACTGTAACCTATTTATCATACCATACTAACTGTGACCTATTTATCATACCATACAAACTGTGACCTATTTATCATATTTTACAAACTGGAACCTATTTATCATACGATACAAACTGTGACCTATTTATCATACCATACAAACTGTAACCTTTTTATCATACCATACAAACTGTTACCTATTTATCATACCATCCAAACTGTGACCTATTTATCATACAATACAAACTGTAACCTATTTATCATACCATACAAACTGTGACCTATTTATCACACCATACAAATTGTGACCTATTGATCATACCATACAAAATGTAACCTATTTATCATACCATACAAACTGTGACCTATTTATCATACTATACAGAATGTTGACATATATATTTGTCACTGATGAACTTATATATACTGCCTTGCTATGGAAATTATTTATTTGGGATTTGAAAGCATAAGAAACACTCTAACAAAATGTTTTCTACGTTGTATTTCAATCAATGATGAATTTGTTACAGATCATTCCTGGTGAGTTTTGCACTCTCTTTAACCTGAACACAGAAGACTAGCTCACACAAGTTGACTATCACCAGGTATTGGTGAGTCGGAAGTCATGTATAAAGTACACGCTCATTAACTATTCAACCACAAAATGGAACACACAAAGCTGATTTGTTGATAAGTGACTCCTCTTTCAAAAACACTGACATAAAAATTAAACAAATGGTTTATGTAAATGAACAAAAATAACAGAAATTGATAATTCCCAAACCAGGCTGGGACTACTTTCTAACATGCGATTAAATGAGAGCAAGTGTGGGTAGGTGGATACTCAAACACGTTAATGTCTCCAAGCTTTCACTCATTACCATGAAAGATAACGGAATAAATTATTGCTGTTGTCTAGGGCTCTTTCTGGCTAATTAATAAACCCATAACCCGATTCCTTAGGTGTCAATAAATTATAAAGATTCACCAAACATTTATACAGTACTGGAAAAAAAGTAATTAAACCCAAGCTTTTGTTCGACTTTTTGTCTGTAACTATCATAAAACATGGCTTTGGGAGGATTACCTCAGGGACACAGGTCTCGGTCATACACATCGAGGTTAATCATGACATATTATTATACCTCAACTTTATTACAGTGTGTCTAATTCGACGATACTGGTCACATGACAGGGCATTAAAACATTATATCACCCTTACACCGTCAGGTTTCTCCGGTCATATTTCCTTTATTGGAGCCTCTCTAGAAGCATTGGCAAGGGCCACTTCACCCTAATTCCGATTGACGGAAGCGGACAACAACAACACCAAATCAACCTGATCGTCTCTACTTCACCTTCGTGAAACCTGATTAACCTCAGACACATAGTGTGTCAGTATAGAATTTTTTACATATCATTTCATGCTGTATCAATATAAATTTCAAAGTGTGTCAATAATATTTCAAATGTGTCAATATACATTTCATAGTGTGTCAATATAATTTTCAAATTGTGTAAACATTGTACAGCATTTATTCGGGAATAATCCAGTTCTACACGCATCCGGCTTTAAAATTAATTTGCTGCCTGGGCTTATCCACAATCATAAGCAGCAGGTTGGTTGGCATACATTATCAACTACAGAAACAATATGTTTCGAAAGAAATTTATTACTTGTATGAAAACTACAAAAAATCAATCCCCCTATAAACAGTGAGATATTAATTATTTAGTTAATCACTTGTGACCAAGTAAAAAACACAATAACAGTGCAGTGATGCTTTCTTTATAACATGATATTTAAACCAGAACATGTTCTGAAACCTTAGTATATTACCTCTCCACTGACCTGATCCACACAACCAGTCAAGGCATTTCTATACTAACATAGCATAACATAGCAAATTTATCTACTGTTGCCATGTGTAATGTCCTAGGTACCATCCACAATTATGTAATGGTGTAGTGTCCAATGAATTGTTCACATGTGTAATGTCATACATGTAGGTACTGTCCACATGTGTGACAATACACATGTGGTCACTACCTACATGTATGACAATACACATGTGTACAGTACTTACACGTATGACATTACACATGGGGACAGTACCATCATGAATGACATTAAACATGGGGGAAGTAACAATATGTACGACATTATACATGTGGGAAGTACCTACATGTATAATGTCAGACATGTAGGAACGGTCCACATGTATAATGGCATACATGTAGGTACAGTCCACATGTGTAATGCCATACATGTAGGTACCGCCCACATGTATAATATCATACATGTATGTACTGTCCACATGTTTAATGTCATACATGTGGGTACTTTCCACATGTATAATGTCGTACATATTGTTACTTCCAACATGTGTAATGTCAGACATGTAGGAACGGTCCACATGTATAATGTCGTACATATTGTTACTTCCCCCATGTTTAATGTCATACATGTGGACAGTCCCTACCTGTCTGACAATACACATGTGGTCACTACCTACATGTATGACATGACACATGTGGACAGTACATTCATGTATGACATTACAAATGTGGACAGTACATTCATGTATGACATTCCACATGTGGACAGTACCTGCATGTATGACATTACGCATGTGGGAAGTAACAATACGTATGACATTATACATGCGGACAGTACCTACATGAATGACAATACACATGTGGACAGTCCCTACCTGTCTGACAATACACATGTGTACAGTACCTACATGTCTGACATTATACATGTAGGTACTTTCCACATGTGTAATGCCATACATGTAGGTACGGTCCACATGTGTAATGCCATCCCTGTAGGTTCTGTCCACACGTGTAATGTCATACAGGTAGTTACTGCCCACATGTGTAATGTTATACATGTAGGTACTTTCCACATGTGTAATGTTATACATGTAGGTACTATCCACATGTGTAATGCCATACATGTAGGTACTTCCCACATGTGTAAAGTCATACATGTAGGTAGTGTCCACATGTATAATGGCATACATGTAGGTACCGCCCACATGTATAATGTCGTACATATTGTTACTTCCAACATGTGTAATGTCACACATGTAGGTACTGTACACATGTGTAATGTCCTAGGTACAATCCACAATTATGTAATGGTGTAGTCTCCAATGAATTGTTCACATGTTTAATGTCATTCATGATGGTACTGTCCCCATGTGTAATGTCATAAATGTAGGTACTGTCCCCATGTGTAATGTCATACATGTAGGTACTGCCCACATGTATAATGTCATACATATTGTTACTTCCCACATGTGTAATGTCATACATGTAGGTACTGTCCACATGTATAATGTCATACATATTGTTACTTCCCACATGTGTAATGTCATACATGTAGGTACTGCCCACATGTGTAATGTTATAGGTCCTAATAAAATGTACAATACCTCATGCCAAATCTTGTTTTAGATACTTATAAACCACTCTATGAATCTAATCAACTCCAACCAAAAATATTTGTTAGTAGCAAGAATATATATCACTATCTAGCATGCAAATTAGGTTACTATAGAAAGTTGCTTGAAGCAGGTATTTTGAAAACATTCATTATACTCAGGAAGACTCAGTATCAAATTCTGTTCAATAATTTAAAATCGACAACATGGGAGAAAAACTTTTTACATATAATATATATTTCATTTGTTTTCAAAAGTATTCTTTATAATGCTCTCCTCTTTTATACATGATGATGATTTCCTTTGTAACCGTGCTACATGTATGTACATGGGAAGTGGCTATACAGAGTGCCGACAGCTGTCGTTATTAGTAAGTGGTTATATTGTTGAGCGGAAGCAGTAAGCCAAAGTTCCGCTTACCCAGAAATATCTAGAAGAGAAGGTGAGTCGCTCCACCGCCGTCTGGCCCTATATGACATCTTTGTTTAATTCAGCAACATCCAATCAAACGCTACTATATCAGTCACATGACCCTTGTTTGTCCTCAGCTGATTACCACAACAAAGAAGGATAAAAATAATACAGACAACATGATGACAAATTGTAATGTTCTTATCTTGACCCTCTTAGTTACTGTGAAAAGTGACATAACACAACAAGGTATAATCAAAATAGGGAAAAAATCATTGGTGGATCATATACCTGGTATGCATTTAGGGTCTCTTGTTAAAATAAAACACCATAGCCACTTTTGATTATCACGATCCAAACAGTTGGACCAGAATTGTTCGTTTTTGAAATAAGGTCAGACAGGCTAGATCTGATGCATGCTGCTGTCAGGAGAGCCTTGACAAAGCCTTGCAAGGCTTGCATGAATATTTGCAGGTCCGGTAGGATTTATACCCATTTGTTACATTCAAAAACAGACAAACCGGTCGTTCCGCATAAACAAACAGGCCCCATGTAACAGAAGGGTTCTAATTAAATGTCTTTGTTGGCGATTTAAAGTCCTATAATTGAAAATAATTACATAAATCTGGGTGATAATGATAAGGTCTAGTCAGTAAGTGTAATGTATTGACCATTACATGTAAAAGAAAATCATACTCATATTCATAACATTCCATTCCCAAACCCACCTTGAACTAATTTCACAGCACCATCAATTTACTAGAAAGGTGTCCATTTAATTATAACATTGGGTTAAATCTATAACCTGTGAATGCTTCGTCCAGGCAAATGTAATCAAATCCGGGGCAAATGTACATGTATGATGTACGATCATACAATATTGTCCCTGACAAGCACCACTGCACAGTAACCCACACATAACAGTATTAGTACCAGTGATGTATTGTTCTCAACAGGCATCAGGTCACCACCAGGGATATACCCATTGTACGCCTCAGGATATACTCAGTAGGTACCAATTACATGATTATATAATGTCAGAACACACCTCATTTCCTCTAATTCTTCTACACTCAGCAGACAATGATACTTTCTACATCTTACTCAAGTTCGATTAACTCATTGCACAGAACAGCTTATCAAACCACTTAATGGAATATTTTACATTATTATATTATCAATTGCAAACAGGGGTAATTGAATATATTTTTTTTGGACATTTATAGATTTTACCATGCAGTCAAAATTCTAAAAAGGTTGTCAGGAATTGATGTTTGTGATAATCTAATGGAATATTCTAAATCAGGGCCGATAAGAATAATACCATCGCCATCAATTATATTGATTTGGATGTATAGAGGCAGCAATGCCTGCGTCCACTAATATCCTATTAAATCCTATTAAAATCATTTCCAATGTACATGTAGGTGTCAGCACTCACTGGTATTCATATACAATTATTGTTTGTTAGCATTTGTTCACACTGACATGGCAACCAATGAAAACAGAAATCTCAATAAAACATATACAGTATAAATTAAATACACTAGGCTTTTTAATGCCATGCCCAACAGTTGTACAAACACTGTGTGGTGAAACCTTTACAGTGACGCAAGGAGAGAGCCACCTGATAGTGGGCAGAGTTCAATTTTTACTGGAGTTTGCAATTATTTTATACATAAATAATACAATATATTAAATGAGGTCAAGTTTAATAGCGCAATACAGAACTATCCCATTGTTTCTAACAGCAACTGTTTTGTTTTTCACCAAACTGGTATCATAGGTGTCCACTAAATGTAAGAGAATCAATACTTACAACTGTATCAGTAATCAATACTTACAACTGTATCAGGAATCAATACTTCCAACTGTATCAGTAATCAATACTTACAACTGTATCAGGAATCAATACTTACAACTGTATCAGGAATCAATACTTACAACTGTATCAGGAATCAATACTTACAACTGTATCAGGAATCAATACTTACAACTGTATCAGGAATCAATACTTACAACTGTATCAGGAATCAATACTTACAACTGTATCAGGAATCAATACTTACAACTGTATCAGGAATCAATACTTACAACTGTATCAGGAATCAATACTTACAACTGTATCAGGAATCAATACTTACAACTGTATCAGGAATCAATACTTACAACTGTATCAGGAATCAATACTTACAACTGTATCAGGAATCAATACTTACAACTGTATCAGGAATCAATACTTACAACTGTATCAGGAATCAATACTTACAACTGTATCAGGAATCAATACTTACAACTGTATCAGGAATCAATACTTACAACTGTATCAGGAATCAATACTTACAACTGTATCAGGAATCAATACTTACAACTGTATCAGGAATCAATACTTACAACTGTATCAGGAATCAATACTTACAACTGTATCAGGAATCAATACTTACAACTGTATCAGGAATCAATACTTACAACTGTATCAGGAATCAATACTTACAACTGTATCAGGAATCAATACTTACAACTGTATCAGGAATCAATACTTACAACTGTATCAGGAATCAATACTTACAACTGTATCAGGAATCAATACTTACAACTGTATCAGGAATCAATACTTACAACTGTATCAGGAATCAATACTTACAACTGTATCAGGAATCAATACTTACAACTGTATCAGGAATCAATACTTACAACTGTATCAGGAATCAATACTTACAACTGTATCAGGAATCAATACTTACAACTGTATCAGGAATCAATACTTACAACTGTATCAGTAATCAATACTTACAACTGTATCAGGAATCAATACTTACAACTGTATCAGTAATCAATACTTACAACTGTATCAGGAATCAATACACATATACATTTGTAGAGCTTCCCTGAGAAGAAGTTAACTTAGTTTCTCTTGCAAAAAACTTAAATTAGCTTCCCTGGAGAAAAACATTAATTTGTTCACCTTAATATTAAACACAATTCAACAATAATTGACACGGAAGACGTGTATATACGCCGGCCTCCATCAATCACAGTACAAATATATTTCCTCTGTGAGCTGTCCACCACCAACACTTCCAATCAGTACAACAGTCTGTGAATGATTTCAGTAACAAGCAGGTCAAACACTTGAAGATAATTTCCAATGAACATTCCAAAGTTTAGAATTTCTATAAAACATCAAAGGTTCCTGGTAGTCTGTTCCCAGAGTACCTAGCCAGGTAATATAAGTTGACACAAAATCAATGATTTTCAATGGTAGGGTTATTAGGGGTTTACAGCCAGAGATACTTTAACAATCCCAAAGCTGATCACCATTCCTGAGACTGCAAAGTTAGAAACAGCCAGGTATATATGGCCTCTAACTCTTCAAAACTAATGATAGCTGTGATCTGTCTGTGACGCCAACTATGCATGCTAAATATATTCCTGTCTTTATTTGCCAACATTCCAGTTCGTGTATATGTTTGTACACCTTGGAGACTTTCTCACGTCAAGTTTATTTAGGTCAACCCATATCCTTCTCCTACATGTATATTTTATAGATATTATTCTAAACATGTATCTATACGTGTAAAGTGTTAATACTAACATCGCCTGACAAATGTTTTCCTTACTGGACTAGATAATAAATTTGTTTATCAATATATGGACTGAAAACATAACTGCACTCTAAATAAACCTTGAAAATGGTTTATTGTAAAGACTGCACTTCTGAATAAATCGCGAAAGAGCACACTTCGGTTTTCAGTGTATAAATCAATTGACCAATTTATTATCTTGTCCAATCCTTAACTAACGATAAAGAATTCCATTTATCAGATACTTGTTTGTGATATGGGTTGTTTTGCATGTGGGATACTGCTATAGCTATGCATAATATGAAATATCAGGAACTGAGCTATATCTACCTGATACACAACACATTTGTTATGCCTCATTTACCATGTTACACTCAATTTGCGTTTTTGCTAATAAGTTTTAATGTTGTGCTAAAATATTTACAATGCATATATCATTTGAGAAAAATGTAATAATATGATGAGTTCTACCCCGTAACAATCCAAAGTCCTATGGGCCATGAGCCCAACAGGCTGATGTGGACGTTTGTGTCGACTCACCATTCATTATACTTGTCATTGGTTTCCAACAAAACAGGAACAGTAATGAAATATTAACAGGAGTATTTTGTTCAGGCCAATCTACCAGCAACATGTCAGTCAACACATTCTAACATGGTCATCAGGATTTCACAGTGGAAACCTTTCCTGTGGGTCGATCTAATCAAGTCAATTTACAGAAACTGTAAGTAGTCACTGGTAGATCTGACAGACAATCCATACCTACTAACATACAAGATATTATCCAGCCTGGCATACCCTTCCTGATGATGACAAGTGATAGATGTCTATACATCATAGAGGATTAAACATACTTATATGCTTATACATTCAAAAAAATAAAAGGAAAAAGATACAAGGAATTTCATCAGCGAACCAAACAGGGGACAACAGCTTAACCCAAAGGTAACAACATACAGCATGCTACCGGGGCTACTTTCAATAAAAAAAAAAATTAAAAAAAATTGAATGATAACTTAAAACAAACAGAAGGCTTTATGATGAAAATAAAGTTGGCATTCTAGTTAGCTGATTGATCAGAGGAAAACATCTGTAGTGAAAATTATGAAAATGAAAAAAAAATTGTCAGCTTATTTAGGATGTAATCATTACAAAATAGCCATTTTTTCACAGGGTTGAAATTTACATGATCGTATAAATTTATCTGTGCAATAATGTGACACATGCACCTATTATCAGTGATATCAACTGCAATGCAGCCTACCATTGCTACTACATAGTATATATATATACATGTACCACAAGTACAAAGGGTAGGATTAGCTACTTGTGACAGGTACATGTGCCATGAATAAGATATATACCTCCTGCATAAAAGAAATGCATAAAGATACATTTATCCCTACCAAAAGGTAAATCCTGGTTTTTTTTAAACAATTGGCATCAATCAATTTATGAGAAGAAGATAGAAGTCCTAATATTTATGTAATAGTCAATTCCAAACCTTCCTACAACTGTCAAGTGACAGTAAAATATTTTATGAACATAGGTTT